TATATATATATATATATATATACTCTTCATAATTAATAATTATAATAAGAAGAAACAATTCCATATGCATACAAAGCAAACAGCTACAAGAAAGCCGTTCACACAGAGAACTACTTAGTATACAAAACATCTTGATAAACTGTCAAGTGATGGATCATATTCTGCATTCTCAGATGTAAAGCAAGCTTCTACATGTTAAACCTTATACCAAAATAACTAGAGCGCGTTTCTACGTGCAAACCACTCATACGCGCGAAGATGTTCTGCTTACTATGTGAATATGTCGAAAAGATAAGAAGTTTTCTCATAAATAAATAAAGAGAGATTTCTCACAAACAACGAAGTCCAGATATTTGAATAATATGACATTCTGTGAATGAAACTGAATTACTTAATTTTTAAGTTTTAATACATTACTAAAAAATTATACACACAAATATATTATAAATTTTACAAAATACTTACCTTAGTCATGAATATAAAATACATAAAATACATAAATAAATAAAATATTACACAAATTGCTATTTTTTTAACAAACAAGAAACGTACAATTATCATTGATCTGTCATAAGCTTTAAAATTAACTTATATATGTTGCAAGTCGAATAATTTTAATTTAAGTGAACCGAGCAACATAGTATTTATTGCAAGTGCACTGTGTTTCTGTTTTGACTCGCACGTGGCGTCTTTTAATTCAAGTTTGCGTCAACTAAAACAAGATTTCGAGTGCGATACGACGTCTAAATACAGCAGGAAAATACTGCAAAATGTACGAGCCAACGTTCATTGTCAAGAAGAGTCGATTAAATATTTTAGAATAATCGATACATGTATATGTCTCTCTCTCTCTCTCTCTTTCTGTGTGTGTGTGTGTGTGTAATTTTAGCTCGCTGCTGAATTGTTTCATAAATATTCTCTATCTTTCGCGATAAATTTTATCACAATCCACCGGTACTTTTATCAGGATCTTTCGCGAGAACGTACGTTCTAATTTCTTTAAAACGATACTATACCTGTGAACAATCGAAAAGTAAAGAAAAACCGTGTGAGAAAAAGAAAGAGAGAACTCGTAATTAGACACTAAATTATCGATCTACTTAGCACCAGCGGTACTTTAATTATTAAACGTGTCTACACGCATTGCTGTAATTTCATTCAATATCAGCGGGTTATATTATATCGTTTGCCACTGAGCGACCAACCTGCACCCGCTCGGGCAAACAGTATGGCAAATGTAATTTGTCCGAGAGCATCCTAAAGTCGTAATATCATTAGTTATGGTATAACTCTTCTCTGTCATTTGTGGCCCGTGGCCATCCAAATATTTGAATCGTGTGTATAACACATGCGTGCACTCGCTTGTCACCACTCGCGCGCGACGATAGAACTTTGTTTTTACAATATTCTAACCACCGATGCATCATGTCCATCTTCGATAATGCAATTAGATAGTGCGCAGCCGAGCTGTGAAGTAGATGAAGGTGCACAAAACTTTGCACGCAAAAGCTAGATTTGCTCATGAGAGTTTTCTTTTTTCTTTTGTTTTATAAAAAAGTAATTCGCAGTTCTCTCGACGGAAGAGCTTTAATTTATGTCACCAAATCTTGTTTAAGCATGTGACCCGGAGTGATTATGCGAGAGCCCGAAAAAATCTCGAATACTTTTTTTTCGATCGCAACCGGAAGCGATAATGCTCGAAGACATTGTTAATACTTTTGGTTGAATATACACTATAAGCGTAGAAGATCGCTTTCTCTCTGACAGGGAACGGATAAGCGACGACATAACGGTTGTCTCGTGAAAGATTCGTGATAAGTGTTCTCAAAGTTGACATGTTCTAATATATGAAGCGTATTGAATATCTACTGTGATTTACGACATCAAAAGTAAAACATTAGAAAGAGTGTACACTACATTCTTCTATAATAACAATCAGGTACTTATATCTTTATTCAATTGGTTTACTTTGTTAAACCAAATTTGTGTGTTCGCCAATTATACTTGAATTTTGTATCTGCTTAACATGCAATGTAAATTTGACTATCGTAGATCAATTGTGCAAAAATCCAACATTAGAGTTTAGTATCGATCAGTGAACAATTACACAAATGCACACTACACAATTATTCCTTTATGTCAATATTGGAAAGAATTTTATATCTAATCATCATGATATTATAAAAAATATTAAAAGCAGTTTTTATGTTATAAACAATCTTTACGTTATATATATCATTATAATTACGTACTCACCATATAAAATCGTGTTATTAATGTCGGTCAATATTACGCTTGCATTTGTTTTTAATTGGAATAGGAGTTTTGTCGAATTAATAGAATATGATGATTGATTTTATAAAACAAACGTGTTTATTGTTTCATGGTTCTTTGCTGAAATGGATAATGGTAATTAATTTAATACATATTTAACAGACAGTGAATATATAATGCGTGATTCGATGAGCGTATTTACAATAATATAATAATACATAATTAGAATTACACTTGTAGACGCGCAATTATAATTATAATTAAGACGTATATTTGCCATCAGTATCGTTACGCAGCGCTAGTCGTCGGTGTGCTCGGAAATGTGCGTGAATATTTACAAAAGTAGATACAATATTTACAGAGAGTTCACATTTACAAACTAATAAGCGTTATGCGACCGTTATTTTATCAAGACAGTCGTGAATCTTTAGGAACAAGCTCTCACGGGACTTCTGTCTTTTCTCACTGTCATTTAGTGTATAATGATTACTATCGTCATTCTTTACGAGTAATTGACGAAAAACCGACAGGAATGGCAAAAAGGAATGCGCCTCGGGTCGCAAAGAAGAGGCAGTGCGTGAGGAACTTTGTTACAAATATTTTTTACAAAAGAAAACAATATATTAGTGGTGTAGTTGTTCAACTTTTGTTTTAAATGTCTTTAGGATCTATTATATAAAAGTATTTAACAAAATTGTAAGTGTGTTCAACGATTCTAGATTTGTGTCAATATTCCGATGCTCGTTTAGAAACAAAAACAAAAGTGGTGAAATAAAAAAGCAACAAATAAAATATTTGTACATATCACTTTTTTAAATGTATCTCTACATATTATTTAATTTTTCTTATTGATTCGTTCGAGCATCGAACATAGAGATATAAATGTTCACAAAAAGTCAAATGCATAATATAATTATTGCTAATAAAGTAGAAATCACGTGTAGAATATAAAATAAAAATGCATCTTTATCCAATATATTATATAATATTATACATAATAAATTATATATAATATATATATTACGTATTATATGTGTTTTTACACACATGTAAAGATATATAAAATAAATATTATATAAACAAATCTGTTCTATGTCTCTTTTGTTGTAATTGTTTCGCATATGGTCAATGTATGAAATATATTGAACGTAGAAAAATTAACAAAATAATTTAATTACTCACAAAATGATCACGCTACGCGTTACACGGCGGCAATTATTGCAGTATATGTACGTTTTATCATCCTTACTCACCGTTCATCATGTATATTTAAATCTCATAATCATGTTGATAAGTTTGCTGATAGTTACGCTAATTAATGCAAATCAAAATAGCGTGACTTTAAATCAAAGAAAGCGCGCTTGTGAAAGAGATCAAACGGCGAAATGTTTAAATTAGAGATCCGTCGTTTGCAATGAAACAACTGATAAAATTTGCTCAATTGCTTGGATTACAACCTACTTTCGTACATCAATGATTCATCCATAATGTCGCATTACGAATAAGCTAATCGACACAGGGACGCACAAAAAATTCACACAGAAAAATCATTAGAGAGCGCAGGATATGTACAATTAATATAAATTCGAAACTATTTTATGTAACGATTTGGTTGATGCGCGCTAAATCTAAGCGCGAAAATTCACGATCTAGATTCCCGCTGCTCTCACGTCATGAAATTATTTACAAACATAAATAAGATAAAAAAAAAAAAAGTATTCTTAATAAACGCGTTCAAAGTTATTCAAAGTTTCGAGACTTTAGAGTATTGAAATATTTTGGTCGTTATTTGGAAGAACATTGCTCCAAAAGGTGAAAAAGAGATTTTCAAAGTTCGATGAAAAGTCAAGCTCTGTCATCAAATCTATCATACATTAGTGATAAGCACAAGACATCGAGAATCGATCTTGTATGTGTATATATATAAAATACTAGACGCTCTCGTGTCACATCCGGATCGCGCGTTCCATGTAAGCGCGCGAACGCCGAAAGGGTCACGGGGCGATCGACCCTCAACAAGTGGAAGAGCTGAAGCGCCTCAGTCAAGGCGGCGTAGGTCGATACAACGCGAGTGTATCGGTAAATACTGTGTATAAGTGGTACGAACATCATTCTAAAGCGAAGAACGTTTCACGTATCTCGATGCCGTCCGACGAGAAAACGTTAGCGCGACACGGCCGGACGATCGCGCCCTATTGGACACCGGAAAAGCGAGATACAACCGGAAGAGGGGAGGCCGGTCTATCTCCTGCCGGATCGGAGCACGATCGCCGCTCTTCTGCGCTAGACGAAGTAAGTACGCGGATTGCCCGGATGCGGGGAGGCGATGATGTCCCCAGGCGGCGCGGTTGGCATCATCGGTGGTTCCGGTATCGTGCTATATAGATGGCTGCCCCTGGAAGACAGACTAGCCGGACGGCCGTTACCGGAGTGCAGCGCGCTATAGCCGTGCTCATGATGCTGATGGTGGTGATGCTGGTGCTGATGCTCCGCACCACTGTCCTCGTCCTCGGTTCGGCTGGACGCCGAGCTGACGTAGGTAGACTGCGTGGGCGTCGGCGTGGGCGCATGGTGCACTGGCGCGACCAAAACGCCATTAGGCTTGGTCCACACATCTACCGCGGTCGACGGCGCCGCGGTGTATCGCGTCGGCGTGCGGCTGTTGCGGTCATTGGCCTTCTTGCTATCCCGTCGCTTGTCTACCGAATCCGGCATAGCAAATCTGAGTTTCTCCCAGAACCTTTTTTCGCCCCAGATCACTACCGTGCACGTCTGTAATAACAACTGCAGCTCCGGATCCCGAGTAGACGTTTCAGTAGCTAGGAGCACTACTACTCGGCGTTTCCGTGAAGTCGGCCTAATATTCTCCAATGCTGTCCTGAGAGCGGCGCGGAAATCGGGATGCTGCCACTCGTTTGTCAAAAATACCGGCGAGAAAATGATGACGATGCGTCTGGCGGCAGCCGCGGCTGGCGGTAACGATTCTTGCGGTCTGGTTGGCGGCAAATCGCGCCAATGCAGACAGAGTGTCAATCCGGCTTGTTCTAGTTCAGCTGCTAGGAATCTAGAGACGAAATCCTCGTCCCGTTCGCTATAAACAATGTAACCGTCATATAATCGGTCTCTTTCTTCATCAGGTGGCGCTGTCATTTTACCGAGACGCAGACCATAGCGCGCGTGGGCCCAGAGGCGCACGTCTTGACGAAAAATAAAGCCCAAAGCGACAACAAGACAAATACCAATGATGGTTACCAAAGTACCCGCGAGCAACGGCACGAAGTTGCCACCTAGCAGCGGAATTTCCTGGATGCCTCGACTCACAGCTTCCTTAGATGGATCACCACATCGTTTCATTGCTTGAGCTAACGTCTCAACGCCGTCGCGACAATACATTCTCTCTGGATCACCGCGGTGTTCTGCAAGCCATGCGCGAAGTCTGCCGGCGTTCCCGCATTCACAACTCCAGGCGTTGCCTTCCAAAGCAATCTTGGTGTCGCCGTTGAGGCTCGACAGAGCTTCCCACGGTCGAAAATCGACGATGCGATTGCTGTCCAATCGCAGAACCGTGAGATTGCGCATCTTCTTGAAAGTTGTGTTCGCCACGGTAGCGATAGCGTTGTGATCCAAATACAGCTCCGATATGTTCTCCAGTTGATCAAACTCGGAGCCCCGCAGCTCTCGCAATGTGTTGTCTTCTAGATGAAGAACTCGCAAAGACTCGACGCCATTGAACGTGTGATTATGTATCGCAACGATCCCGCTGTTATTTAAATATAACACTTCCAGACGACGCTTGCCAAGAAAAATGTGACTACCTAGATCGCCTAGTTCATTGCCGTCTAAATAAATTTCCGTGGCGTCCATCGGTATCAGATCGGGTACTGTTCTGAATCCCGCGTTGGAGCAGTCGATGACGTTGCTGGACCAGCTGTGATCATGATAGCACGTGCAGTTATCCGGACAGCTCATGTCACAATCACATGCGTCGAAATCGCAACAATGACAGAGAGTGAAGCAGTGTGTGTAATATTGACAGAGAAAGTCGTTTGACTTCAAGGTCACCAGCGGACGTCGCGGTGTGGCGCGCGCGTGCACCATCTCACATGTGATGGCGTCCAAATCCATAACGCGCGGATATTGACGGTCGCGAGTTAATTCTATATTGTCGTACAGCAACCATTCCATAGTACAGTCGCAAACAATAGGATTGTTGCCAATATAAAGCTCAGGTAATTCTTTATCTTTTGACACTTGCAGACTGACAGCGGACTGTTCTAAATTTCTGATCTCGTTTCCGTAAAGAATTACTTTCTGTAAGTTTACTTTTTTCAAAAATGTGTCAGCCGCTACGTTACGTATCTTGTTGTTGTTGAGCACTAATGTTTCCACACTATCTGGCACATTAACATCTGCAATCTCGGTGATGAGATTGAAACTAGCATCCAGTGTCTTTATTCGCAAATTGCTGCGCATGTTGTAATAGTTTCCCAGCTCACTTATTTGATTCGAGTGTATATCCAGCCATTCTATGCTGGACGGTAGGTGGCTGTAGTCAAACCACAGCAACTTATTATCGGACACATTCAGCCAGACAAGAGACGAGAGACTTGTAAAGGTGCCTCGAATTTCCGTCAATTGATTTCCGTCCAACCTTATGGCTCGTAATACCGGATTACTCGCGAACGCGCTCTGTTCCACGTGACGAATGAGATTGTTCGATAGATTGAGTACCTGCAACGACGGTAAGGACGCGAACGCCTCGCGTGACACATTCTCGAGCTTATTATCCACTAAACGCAATCCGTAAAGCTCGTCCAAACCAACGAACGAGTCATTATCAATTTTCGACACGTTGTTGTTACCTAAATCGAGGGTTCTCAGCTTCCTCAGCATACGAATCGCATGGGGAATTCCCATCAGAATGTTATCATTCAAAGAAAGATCTATAAGTTTTGTAAGATTAACAAACACATGCTTGTCTAAGTAAGACAGTTGATTGTTCTCCAGAAAAAGCTGGCCGAGAGCGCCGAGACCGATCGTGTGCACCGGATCGAATCTGGCGATCTTGTTACGTGACAACGTGAGAGAATGCAGATTGGTGAGCGAGGCAAAGCAACCATCGACCAACGTGTCGATTTTGTTATACTCAAGCTTGAGAATCTGTAGACTGTACAGACCCTTGAAAACGTACGCGTCTATCCTTGTCAACATGTTGAACGACAAGTCAAGAACAGCGAGGCGGACTAGCCGTGGAAAAGTATCCCGATTTACCCACTGATTTGTCAATTCGTTATTGCTAAGGTCCAACACTTGAAGTTTCTCGAGATTGTCCAGTAATCCAGGCGCTAATACGGAAAGGGAATTGTTGCTAAGTATAAGTTCTCTCAGATCTCGTGTTTTCGAAAACAATTCAGGAGGCAGTGCGACGAGTCTGTTGCTAGACATGTTAAGGATTCGTAGAGACGCGAGACCGGCAAGAGCGTGATCACCAACAGAGGCGATCGCGTTATCTTGTATCTTCAGCATACTCAGGCTACGCAAGCTGCTGAGAGCGTGATCGGGCAAGGCACTGAGGTCGTTGTCACTAATGTCCAAACTTTCGAGATTGGGCGTGCAGGTCGCGACCCAATCAGAGAAGCCGAGGGAGCTCATGTCTTGTAACTTGTTGCGCGTCAGATTCAACCTCGTGAGACTCTGCACCGAGCAGAGCAATTCCGACGGTAACGTCCATAGATTATTATCGGAGAGATCGAGATGTTGGAGACTTGTAAGGCCGCGGAACGTATCGCGATGCAACTCCAATGACATAGTCGACCAGTCGCCGTTGTGCGTTCGCAAAGTCAGACTTCGAAGATTGTGCAACGAAGCGAACACGCCGCCCGGCAAAAAATCGATCTTGCAATGATCGACACGCAGCTTCTCGAGACGCGGCAACGGCGAGAAAAAACTGTGCGGATTTTCTAGCTTGCTATCGAAGACCAACACGTCGCTGCATTCCAATCCCATCGATGTTATGGAATCTACTTGTATGGACGAGAGATTACCGATCAGCCCCGGCACGTTCGCGATTGTTCGAACTTTACAGTACAGATCTTTCTCTCTTCCTTCTTCATCGTCCTTTCTCCACTCACAGTCGCTCGGCGCCTCGAGACTTGTGATGCTGCGCCCTTGCACCGAACAATAATAATCCAACAGCACACACAGAACAATCGTGGCTGACCGAAAAACTTGCCACGAATGCCATGACGACGCCACGCGACGATTATGCGTTTTCATTACGCATATTCTCGCAAACGCACTCATTTTGACTGAAAGATATTCGTGCGCGCGCGCACGCGCTTGTACTCGAGAGAACTGTTGTGTATCGCGTCACGCATTCATAGTTCACAGCACTGTTTCGACCATACGCACTGTTTCACGCAAGAGAAAGAGAATAGACAACACGCTGATCGTGTGTACTTGTCTTCTCCCGACTCTCCTGACGCCGTCGGCAAACAATTCACGAATCACACTGACACCGATACAACGGTCCTCAACTTTGTTATCCGCTCCCACGAATCGCCTGAGCGTCGATTGCTCATTCCTAAGGAGCGGATACAGACCACAACGAACAAACGTACCATATGTGTTTTCTATTTGCTAGAAAAGAACGAAGGTTATTATGTATGATTCGGGCGACAACCACCCGAAAAACAACATTCTACCGCGGCAGTCGGAGCGCAACTAACTCCGACAAGACGAAATTCCACCAACGATCATAGCACATCTGGCGGCGTGCGCTCGCCCCACTCTTCTTCCTCCCTACCATGCTATGTTACCCCTACCATCAGCAAAATGTGCCCCTCTATTTCTTTAACGTGAACGGATATTCTCGCACAAAATATGTTGTACTCGCTCGGGCGCGCTTTTCTCAACGAACGTTGTATGTCCAGGCGGGTGGCTGGCTGCCTGCCTGCCTGCCTGTCTGCCTGCCTGCCTGCCTGCCTGCCTGCCTGCCTGCCTGCCTGCTTGCCCCGGAGATGTAACAAACCAGCTGACTGACAACACTACTAGGTAAACACTAAACTGGTTCCTAGACGCACTGGAACGCATTCATCAAGCGGCTTCTCTTCCTTCTCTCATTTCTTCTCGCGTAAAGATCTTTCAGCCTCAGGCGCGTCTTTAGCTTTGTCTAATAGACAACAAAATGTCCTGGAAACTTTTGTAAAACAAGTAACTTTTTTTCGCGATGATTTGTTGCTTTCATATTGTGCTTTGTGAAGTTTTAATCAGTATGCTTTCAGGTACTCTCCAAAGTACTCGAGATTGGCAAAACGATGCAGAGAAGAATTCATTGCATTCTTGTCGTGAATGAGTTTCCTGCGGGAAGTTCATACGCATTTGATACTGTACAATAAAAAAGAAAATGTTAATTTTAACATTTTTTTAACATGTTCCAGGAGGTTCACTCTAAATTTTAAGTTAAAATAACTCATTCGTTGTGAGTCACTTATTGACTAATAAAGTTAAATAATTGACACAATACTTTACATTTATATTTGTTATTGTGACTGTAAGCGTGATGTAAAAATAACATATAAAATAATTAAAAACTACACAAAACAGCAGTTACAGTAACTCGTAAGAAATGTTAATAAAACATTTTAGTTTGTACAATGTGACTAAAGATTTTGTTTAACTTTTTTTAGTATGTTAAATTGACTTTGAGCCATCTAGATTAATTGAAATCATTGTGTTAAAAGCACTTAAACAATATTCCATTTTTAAATGACATGCAAAAAATGTTAATTTGTGAGGTTAACATAAATTTAACACGAAAAAAGGTTAAAAAAATAATAACATATCAGTATTATGTTAATTTTACATTAAAGTAATAATCAAAACGTCGTAACACAAGAAAAGTTCTACATTTTGACGCACGATTTTTTACTGTGTGATATTTTAAGGTTGAGTTTGGACATGCTAGCTTGCATGCGTGAGTGTACTATCAACGCATCCGGTACCAGGTGTATACGTAAATTACCGTGGATGCAATCGCAAACAGAATTGAGAACTCTGCGACTAAATTTGATATATCAAACATGTTTGATAAAATTACTAATAAATCAAACAAATAAGTGGAGCAAATCAATATTTACCAACCAATTCTGTCAAAAAGCTAACATTTAATGATTACTATATTACCGCACTAAAAATATTCTATTCAAAATTATTGTAAAACTATTTAAAAAGATTATGATTTTTTTTCTTGCCGCAAGGTAGTTATTCTTAAAAGTAGGTAAGACTTTTAGCGCCATCTGCATTTTAGCTAGTGAACTAAAACAAGCTTTTAGATAATGATAGATCTTACCTACCTACGTATTATGTGCTCTCTCTTTCATATGTTTTAAAGATTAGATGTTACAAAGCGTGAAATCTCAAACAGCTTCGCAGAGTATGCCAACGTATACGTTTTCTTTAATATCTTCATTGCCTGTTTTATAAATCTGTTACATTCTTGTTTATAAAAGCGTATTTTATCCTAGAATCTCTTAATTTTATATTGTTTGATGTTCATAATGTATTTAGTGTTTCATAAATATAGTGATTAAAAAAATTTATAAAATAAGAATTTAATATACAATTATGTTTGCAATAATACAATAATTGAGATATGCACAATCAATTTTTTGAATAAAATCTTTAATCCTTCACGTTTATATACAAAACATTTTATTGATATCTTAATAACAATTTTATCAGGATTTAAAACTTCAGTGCATGCGCTCGAAACTAAAAAGACTTGATTAAAGGATTAGTATAGCTTCACGCGACGTGCGCAGTAATTGCATATTCCTTAACGTCTAAACTTTTACTTGAACTTATTCTGAGCGACGGCCACTCATCTGTCGTGGCATGAGTATACGAGATGATGAATCACGCGAGTATACTAGATGAGCGTGTACGGGATTATAAGTTCGAAGTCGTACATCGCGCGCATACTCACGATGACGGATGGAGGCATTTATGGATTTAAACATATATACGGAAGGTTTCCACACTTCATTATGTATTTATGGCTTGTCACCGTGATATCATTTCCTCGTCACTCTACCTGATTAAATCGCCTCGCATCGCAATTGGAATACTTTATCAGTGTGACTAAGTGCAAGGAACGGTAACGAATTAAGCGTATCGCTACTATATGCGCGTATTTTTGCCCGAGCGTGAACTCCGGATAAACGAGCGGTACTTTTATTTAAATTACTTGAATCTCTTTTACTGTCGCGGTCGTGGAACATTTGTTTTTTTTTTTAAACATAATTTGTAAAATAAAAATATTTTTAGTGAAGTTACGTTCTTAATGCGCTGAACGAAATAACGTTAAAAAAATATAAATCGCTAGAAAAAAGGATGATACGTAGATATGTGAGCGTAGATATCTATGCTAAGAAAAAATGTATAGCTATGTAAATGAACACTTCTCTTTTTCTTTTTCTTCATTGAAATATAACCATAAAAGTAATTTAGGCGATAGATGACAAAGTCTTTGAGTTGTCTGCAAGAGAATGAAAGATCTAAATAACCGTGCAGGCGTTTGTGGTGAATCTAGGAGAAGTCTTTCTTCGTTCCAACAGCGTGCGTACTATCTGCTCGAAATTTATGCTTGTGCTGGTTCTATGCAAGGAGCGCAGCTAGGTGTTTGAATGGGATGTTCTTTTATATTTGAATATTTTTTTCTTGCGCGCTTATCGCGCGTGAAAGACTATTTTACAAAAAGACGCTGTTATTAAATAACTATAAAAAGTAATCTTTATAAAAAATGTGCCTTTGTAAAAACCATGCGCTAATGATATTAAATAAATCATTGCCTGTTCTAGATCTCTAATTCAAAATACAGTAGTTAAAAAACTTAAAAAAAAACACCCACAAAATCTCTACTTTTCATTTTGTAAAAGTGTTTTTCTTTTTCTTTCTGTTTCTCTCTCTCTCTCTCTCTCTCTCTCTCTCTCTCTCTTTCGTTTGCTCGCTCGCAAGTCATTTTCTTGCAACAATAGAAAGGAAAAAAGTTGTAGCGAAATGTTCAAATTTTGTCCGACATACACGGGAATTTAGAAAGAATAGCGGACGAACGTAAGATTCGTAAACCAGATAATCGATTTCGGGAAAATTCGAGAAGGATTGCGAACGACATCGTTAATAAAACTTTTCGGTTTTGCTCCAGTGGCAAAATCGATCGGTCTATGTACAAGGTCAACGAGATCGGGTCGAGACGACTGCTTTCGCGTTACTTTCACTCACAGGCACATATCAAGGAAAAAAACAAGGAGGAGGTCAACGACGGGGTTAACGACAAAAACTATATCGCGTCACGAAATCCCGCAGGCATTAGCATATGACCAAAGGGCGCGTCCGAGAAGGTAAAGCGAGAAAACGCTTGCTTGCTCGAAACGCTGCCAGACAAAATGTGCGGACGGATGGACGGATAAGACCGAAGAAGTAAGTAGGTGCCACGAAGAGAAGTTGACGTCTCTCGTCCATGCACCGTCAACTGGCTAGCTTTGCAGGCGGAGCTTTCGTGCTGTAAAGACCGCCTGCAGACCGCCCCTGTGTTTCATTTTATCGTCGTCAATGTGGCGTGCAAGAAGGTCTGCGAATAAAGGTCCGCTTCTGGATGGCGGTTAACGTGTATGCCGATCAATGAAGCACTTTCATCCCGTTTATCGTCGCATCTTTGTGTCATTTTTAGAAAAGATCTCGATGATGATCTCTTATATAGCTAGCTACGTCTGTTGCGTGACAACTGTGAAAAAATATTCTACGTGGACAACAAATTGATAGTAGTAATCGAAACGGCCCATAAACAATGGATTCAGATAGCAAACGCGCGGTTAGATAATAAAAGTCTCACTTGTTTGAGAGGTACGACTGCCGCCAACTCCAAGAATATCGATGTTCTGAGATACTGGGACGGTTATTTGAAAAGAGAACAAGATAAAAGTAATTCGGATAATGTATACGATAGTCACACACATTAGCGAATAGTAATTTATCAATTTTAAGGAAGCCAAAGATAGTTTTTTTAAAATTAATTTTTTGTTTTTTATTTACGTACTTCTAAATTACGTGCATGAAACTGATAGGAAAAAAGACGGTATTTTCATTTCAAATAAAAAAAAATTGATTATTATTCTGTAAAGATGCGTACCTATATATGTAAGAGTAAAAAGTATAATTATTAATTTTTGTATTCTTAATTTATTAGATTATTAACTATTTAATCAATAAAGTCATATATCGTGCAAAAATCAATAAAAAATAATAAAGTATTTTTTAATCTAATAAATCACTTTTAAATCGTTGACTTAATATTTATTTGATTGCATAATCCATAGATATTATTTCAATAAAGCTCTCGTTTGCTGCTTAATTGTTCTGGTCTTATGACACTTGAGTCTCAACATAGTATTACGCAACGCGAAATATCGGCAATCGAGGTTGGAATGTTCGGTTGAGAAACCGACTGCAAATATAAGATCTCTTCTCGAACAAACTGAAGTTATATAGTTGGATATTGGTAACTGAATCTTCTCTGCAGCTATATAATATGAGATTACAGAACGCGCGGCATATTACCTCGAAGATATTATGAATTGATTTTACAGATCGCCTACGGCGACTTCCTGCCAATCGATTACAAGATGTGCCCCGAGTTTTGGAATGTTCCGGGATATCT